GAGTCGGGTTCAGGTCCTGGGCTAACTCTTCCGCAAAGAGCATGGTAGGTATGGTTCAGGGTTTAGAGTTGCGGGTAGCAGTAGTCCATTAGTTTCGTCTGGATAGTGCAACCGGTAGAAGAGGTAGTACAAGTACTCCTCGTCGTCATACTGGCAATCATCGTTCACATAGTCAGAAGTACGAGCAGTTTGAATCGCAACCGCATTAATCAAGAACCCGCAAACCATCACAGGACAGTGAAAAGGCAGGCTCAACTGGACATGCCAACACTACTTCGTGTTGCAAGCTCATCGTCACAACATCGTCTTCATGGACGTCGTCAGGTCGTCGTCGTTGTCGCAGCGGGCTCAGCAGTCGTAGCAGCAGCATCAGCATCTGCCGTCACCAGAGAAGCCAGCAGTAAGAGGTGCCACCAACGTTGAAAGGGGGTTGGGTGGATGAAGAACTCGTTGAAGTTGTAGAATTACAGTTTTCAGACAAGGTCTACATCCATCATGCGAGCACGTTCCTCGTATTGCTTTACAAATCTATAAGGTCACTCAGTCCTATGTAAAGCTTTTCTGCAGGCCAGCGCGACCCCGAAAATCTGTCACCAGACGACAGCTCCGACCTATCGTAGGCACCCCGACGTTTGATAGTTTTAGCCCAATCACAGCGTTGTCCTCACATGCAGCCCAGTATTCCATCGGCTTTTGTCGGCATGTAAAGCGCAAAACTTGACAGACTTCGCACCCCATCTCTGCAGGATCCCCTCACCTCCCAATCCTGACCCAAGACTCTGATTTTGCGATGGAGCCCTACACTCCCGCGGTAGTTTGCCAACAGATCCCTAATTAGCCCTCAACCCGCAACCCTTGAAGCCCAAAAGCCCCGACACACTAAACAAGCCTGGACCCTAAACCTTGGGTGTAGGTCCCTGCTTGTCGGATGTCGGAGGATGAGATCTCCAGCTCGCAGAAGACGCAGGTCTTCATCTCCTCCACGCCATCCGCCCTCAAAAGCTGCTTGGAGTTCTTCAACCCCTAAACTTCAGGGTGGGGATGAAGGGTTTAGGGTGTACAGTTTTCTAAGTTGTCTGCCTTCCGAACGCATTTTGGGACGTTTTTTCTTTAAAGACAAACCAAACTTCAATAAAGGGGCCCTGATGGTTAGAACCGGGTCCCCTTAAAGGACCCTAGAAGGCTCTTCAGCAGCCCATTGGAGTCCCTGACGCCGAGGAGCCATAACTTTTGGGGTGTTTAGGGTTGTGTTCCGGGTTGTAAGAAAGAAGCCTAAAGAGCTGGCAATACGATTCCCGTAGGGTTCCTGGTTAAAAGTATGCAGTCCTCACATAACCCAAAACTCTATTCTAGTTCGTAGGCCCCCTCTAGTAGAGCTTTCTCAAGACCCGAACACCTTAAACCTTAAACCCTCAGACCTAATGTAGCGGCCTAAATAATTAGAATAGCGTTCGGGGGTATGTTATACTATAATCATAAGGAACCCCCGAGCCCCTATTCTAATTCTTAAGGTCCCTACACCAACACCCATTGTGAGGCTCTCCTTGGTCTTGACTTGTGCTTGAGGCTTCGAAGGAGCTCCTGGGACCCCTATGTCATGCTTCTCTAACTTAAGCCCTAGACCCTAAACCTTAAATGTAGGCTTTAGGATTTGAGCTTTGTAATATTCAGGGCTTAGGGCTCACGGCGTTGATTCGTCAAGGGTTTGGAGTTATTTGGTTTCTGAACCCTTCTTTGGTTTTTGTGTGCTTTCGGGGTTCAGGCCTGCAGGCCCTGAGGCTTTGAGGATTTTGGGTTTAGGGTTTGGGGCTGTAGCGTTCTTCGAACGCCCGTTTGGACTTGTGGGGCGCTGGGGCCCTAGGATACTTTGGGTTTGGAGTTTGTAGAAGCCCCCCTAGACTTTCTTGGGATTTGTGGTTCTTTTTGGTATCCTAGCAACATCATAGGGCCGAAGCCCTTAAGAATCAACACCAATCCCTGAACCCTGCACTCTGCACCTTAGCCCCCTCGCGATCGTAAACCCCTCAACCTTCAGCTCAGCACCCGGAAGGTTCCTGGCCTGTGGCGATCGCCCCAGAGCCCTTTGCCGGCGTGGCCTCCCCGCCACACAACCGCGACCTCTTCTCCGGCAGCACCTTTGACAAAAGGTAGATGACCCTTACCCTTATAAACTAAGCCGTAAACCCTTTTCTCGAAATCCCTAAACCCAACAAGCCGGAACTCTAAACTGAAGAGGCAGAAACGCTCTTCCTGGATTGATCAAGGGGCTTGCAATTCTGAGTTTTCCCATAGTAAAAGCACCTCCGAAACCCAAGTCTAAGGTTCATGGTTTAGGGTTGTGCGTGGGATCTTGCCTTTATGCTTTGGGGTGTAGGGTTTAGGGTTAGTGTTGAAGGGTTAGGAGTTTAGGGTGTAACGGTTTAAGGGGTTAAGGGTTTGAGGTTTAGGCCCTGAATGCAAACTCGAAGCCCAACCCCCCGTGGTGCCACTCCAAATCTGTAAAACCCTTGTGCCGCAATCTGGAGCACTTCGATAGAGACCCAGGAGGATGGTCGCAAACGCGCTGGGCACCCCCAACACTCCAAACTCCATAAGACAGTTTTTTGCAAACACTTTCAGACCACTGTGCCCGGAACCCTAAGTGGGCGATCCTAAACCCGAAACCGTACACCTTACACTGTCGACCGCAACCCCTGAACCTCGAGACCTCCCGGCACGATCAGGACAAGTAGAAGAACTGCATGAAAGAGACCCGTCCTGAAACGTGCATGTCCGTTTCCTTGAGCAGCGTAGGGTGCGAAGATGTAATAAGGACACTCAACGGTTCAGGTTGCGGATTTGGCGTAATCCGAGTATGCACGTATAGCTGCCAAGAGCAATATTTAGGCACTCTACAATATGTGTGGAAGGGCATAAGAATACCCCAAGAGGAATGAACAGCGCTGGGAGCAGCTAGCCAGGTATCTCCACCAGCGTCTTTTAGGCGCCGCCTGCATCTGAACAGCAACGGAACAGTCTGTGGCTAGTTTCGCAAGAGTCACATAATGGTGGTACCTCTACAGTGCAGACTGCTGCACTTGGAGTTCTGGAGCGTTCTCTGGAGGTTTGAACGACTACCGGCTTGGATGTTTCAAGTTCTGGGCTCGGGTTTAGGGTCCAGGGGTTGGGGCCTACGAGGGCAGGATGTCGTTGAAGTCAGGGTCCATCCTTGGGTAGGCAGATGCCAGGCGGCAGAGTTAAGTCTCACCAAGAGCACGGGCAGTGCAGGCTTTTCCACCCTTCTCAAAGTTCAGAGAAGGGCTTTCCTGGCTCGCCCTTTCCACGAATTTGTCGCGTTTCAGACATGGATCGAGGTGGAGCGATTTCTATGATGGCACCCCAAATCCCTCTCCACGCATCTTTTGTGGGTCCGTAAGGCCGAAGACCGAACCCCTGCAGTAACGAGGCTTCTACGATTTCAATTCGACTAGTTGAAGCCTTATCCCCTCACCCCAAGCCACCGACCTTAGAACCCCAAACTGTGCATCCCCTGAGCCCGTATTTGGCATGACATCTGAAGGAGCGCGCAACAGCAAAAAGAAAAGAACAAGAGTCTTCGTTGCACGGTTTAGGGTTTAGGGTCCAGGAAGGTCAGTCAGGTATCGAGGTCATGTGTCCATGTAGGGTTTAGGGTGCCTTGGTGGCGCGTGACCAGTAAGTAGCTTCGTTCCTCCGCCTTTTTCATCTCACAGTCAGCGGAATATAGAAGCCTTGAAGAATCGTACTTCTATTCCTATAGGGCTCCCTATTATAAGTATCCTAGGATAGTATACAGCATACCAGTACACCCCAAGGCCGTTCTCTCATATGGCGGAGTGTCGACTCAAAAAAGAAACGGGTCTAGGGTGTAGGGGATAAGGATTCAAAATTCGGGGGATTACATTTGATCTAGTTGTATTCAGGAGTTCACGTGTCTCACAATCACAGCCACGTGGCTTCAATCCTACACACAAAGCCAAACGCTCTGGTGTAGACCCCGGATTTTCAGGATACTAATTCAATTCCAACGGGAACTTTGGAGACCCCGGATTAATCACACCCCTTCCTTCAAGGCTCTCAAGGCTCTTACAAATGATCAGGATCTCCATCATAATCTCCGTTATGGCAGGCGAGTTGACCTGTCAGGGGTCTGCATTACCTACCCGTAACCTAAATGCTAAACCCCTAAACACACCAATTTTCCCCAACCCGGTGACCTTTAAACCCCAAAACACAAATTTCTTCAGACCCTTAACCCCAAAACGCAAACCCCTCAAACCCCTAAACCCCAAAGCGCAAATGACCTCAAACCACTACGCCCCAAGATCTCAAAGCGTGACGTGAGGAGACAAGCCCGGGAACACAACGGTACCCACCAAACTCCACCATCCACCCATGGACTCGGACCTCCCCCAGCTTTAGGGCTCCCTTAAAGGATCCTCCCTCACAGGTTAAAGGAACCCCTAAAGAGTTCCCTTGAAGGAACCTGTAAAGGGATCCCTTAAACGGAACCTCAATGATTCCCTTAAGCGACCCTGAAGGATCCTTTAGGGGTTCCTTTGACGGTACTAGAAGGATTTAGGGCACGTTACTGTTCGTTTGATGTGAATGAAAGCAAAACTCCTACATATATCATGGTTCTAAGGGCGCTTAAGTCCAAGCTCTAGAGGTTCAGGGTTTCAGGCTCAATTTGTAGAGTTTTGGGGTTTTCGGGAGTTTGGAGTTCAAGGTTCAAGGTTTTAAAGGGTTTCAGGGTTGTGGGTTGAGGGGTTGTTCTCAGGTTGCGATTTTAAGTAAGGTGTGCGGGCATCCCGAGCCGAGCCCCTTCTGGTGCCTAAATCTCGTGGTGGTGTGAGTCTTTCAGGAGCCCTGTGTAGACGTGCCAAGCCATGTTTTTTTGTGAAGGTGTTGTTCTGGGCTTGAGGTAGATCAGGAGCGCGTACCTCTGTGGGACCGTACGTATTTTCGTCGCCCTGCGTCAGGACACCTATGTTGCCGATCCTGAGGCAGGGCCTTCTGAGTGAAAGTTGAATAAGAGGTCCGGATATCTGGTATGCATCATATTCCCTTGTGAACTTTATGTAGTTGTACTTGCACTGTAACATACATAGCACTTATTCCAACATGCCCCATATCATGGCCTCTCTGCATCTTGAGACCCGAATCTCTGACCGAAATCACCCGGGAAAGCAGTAGTAAAGTCACGACTTAATATGTTGTGTGTGTTTCTATATATTGAGATAGGGATAACACACACGCACAAACCCCAAGCCCCTAAAGCCCTAACCCCTAAACCCCTACCTAAACCCTAAAACCCTAGCCCCCAACCCTGCAAGCCTCAAACGATCGAACTTTCGGGATTTTGAGATTTGGGTATAGGGCGTAGGGTTTAGACTTTCGGGTTTAGGAACTGGGGTTTATAACTTAGGGTTTAGGGTTTAGGATTTGGGGTTTAGGATTTGGAGTTTAGGGCTTTGGATTCAGGGATTTCACGATCCGTAGGGATTTGGGGGTTAGGGTTCAGGATTTGGAGTATCGGATTTTGTCGTTTGGGGTTTGTGGTTTGGTGTGGAGGTTGAGGTCCAGGTTTGAAGATTTTGGCGGGGTGTAGATTTGGGGCCTGAGGGCTTAGGGTTTATGGTTTACGGGATTCTGAGCCTGGACCCTAGACCCTAAGTCGTGGCTTCGGGTTTCTAAAGGGTTTTGGTTCCCTGTGCTGCGGCTTAGGGTTGCCAAGTGTTGGAGGTCTCGGACTTTGAAGGTCCATGGCTCCTTTCTTTATTAGGGTTTTAGGTTTCAGGCTTGTGGTCTTGGGTCGATGGCATGCCAATGAGCCCCACAACCTACACCCACCCAAAACAACAAGGGGAGGGACCCCCCAAGTTTGTGAAAGTCCCGATGAATCCCAACTCGAACGTCGCGAAGCTGCACTTCACACCTTAAGCTCCCAAGCCGTAAGCCGTGAAACCCTCAAGCCCTACCCTCCTCTCTCTTTTTATCACCCTGAAACCCTGAAGTTCGCCGACTTCCTCTCTAAACCCCCAACCCACAAGCCCAAAAACCTAGACACCCTAAACTCTACACTAGGCCTTAAACCCTAAACCCGAACGCCCCAAATCCAAAAACCCAAACCTTCAATCTTGATCTCCGCTCCAGGACCTGATCGACCAGCACGTCGCTTACTTCCTGCGCAAGAACCCCGAGGACTGCCTTGGACTTCAGAGCTCTGTGGAGACTCGCTTTGAGGGGCTCTTTCAGGGTTTCCTTCGTGTTTTTCGGGCTCTCTGAGGATTGCGTAAGCCAGGGGTTTGATTTGGGGTTTAGGGGGACAAGGGCTGCAGGTTTGAACTGATTAGGGTCTAAGGGCATGAGGGTTGAAATAGAAAGGGGTTGAAGGGTTTTGGGAGAAGTGAGGAACTGCGGCAGGTATCCCTCCCAGCCATGTCATTCGCAGCCTCGGGCTTAGGGTCAAGGGTTTAGAATTTACTTGCTCATTCAAAAGTAATTCCAGTAGTCCTTATGTACTCATGGCATAGGAGAACCTTTCCCAACAAGATCAAGGAGAGGGGGCAGGGTTCAGGCTGCGTGCCTGTGTGCTTCAAGGATCAGCGCACCCCCTCTTCGAGCAGCCCGAAGCCTAAAACCTTTTACCCCACACCAGAACCCCTTAAATCTTACCTCTTACAAGCCCTAAAGCCTGAACCCCAAGCCATGAACCGTTAACTCTTAAACCCTAAACTCCTGGCAAGGCTCCCTCCTTGACTCCGGGAATCCCAGCAGGTACGGGGCAATCACAGCATCCGCCGGCGAACGGTGGGTTCGTGCGACGTTCCGACTTTGGGCTGTACAGTGACGGTAAGGGTCGAGGCCTGTAGGGTTTAGGATCTAGGGCCTAGGAGCAATTCAGGGCTTTATAGGAGTTCCAATTGATGGGTTTAGGGTTTAGGGTTCTGAGTTTTGGGCTTTGGGTTCAAGGTTTAGGGTTGAGGGGTTTCGGGTTTAGGGATTTGGCGGGTTGAATAGGTGTGCAGGGCGTAGGGGCTCGCTGTGATTGGATCAGCCGTAGCTTTTGCGGTGTTGTGTAGGGTTGCAAGTTTTGTAGCTGCGCTGTCATGCAAGTCGCCGCAATGGAAAATCTCATCGAATGTTTTAGCGTCCCAGGTTGCTTTTCGCTTGTCGTCTTGTCGTCACTAGCACCACCATCCCTCATCTGCGGAAGTGGGTGCCCTAGAGCGGGGACGTGCTGCGCCCCAAAAGCCTATGGGATGAGGGTGATTCAGGGTTTCTTCGCACTCTTCCCAAAACCGTAAAACGTAAGCCCTAAACCCTCAGCCCAACACCTTAAATTCTAAACCAAACCCCAAACCCTCCCGGTGCAGGGGTGGCGGTTGGACAGGGGATCGGAACAGAAAGCCCATCCAGCTCTAGGTTTCTCCTAGGCTTGGGGTTTTGGGTTTTGGGTGTCGGTACCTTCAAGGGGCTAAACACTCTTGGTTCTGGCTTAAAGATTTAGAGGTAGGCTGACCTCCCTAAACCCTAATCCCTAAACCCTAAACCCCTAAACCCCTAACCCCTAACCCCTAAACCCTAAACCCGAAACCCTAAACCCGAAACCCTAAACCCCGAACTCCACGACTGAAGTCTGAAGCCACAGTTAACGAAGTCAGCCTCAGACCCGAAACCTGGCAGCCAGGAGCCATCTGCAAGAGAGCCTAAACCCCGAACCCTAAGCAAACCGAGTGGTGTTCCAATAACAAGCCTTAAACCCCAAACTCTAAAGCCTAAGCCCTAGATCCTAAACTCCAGCCTAAACTCGAGACCCCAGGCCCTCAACCCCAAGCCCGAGAGGTACGACATGGACGGCCGCGAGGTGCAGATCGAGTGGCAGTATGCGACGGAGCCGGGCGGCAAGGCCTTGGCAAGAAGAGCTGCGGCACTTCGAAACGACCCCTAATCTTGATTCTTCTCACATAACCATACCGCAACATCCCCGAAGCCCTGCTCTACATATTCAGAGCCTGGCAGTGTTCAACTGAGCTGTAAAGCTGCCAAGGTTTAGGGCTTAGGGTTTTGAAGTTGCCTTGGCCTGAGCTAAACTCAACTTGTGACTGGAACTTTTGGAGCCCGACTTCAGGGCAGTGTAGGTTTTGTTTAGGCAGGCTTTGCGCACAATTTTAAACAAAACCCTAAACCCTAAGCCCTAAACCGAGTCATGGTTGCAGGGTCTCCGGGAACAGCACAGTGTCAGTGAGTGGAAACCCACAACCCCGAAGTCCCGACCCGTACACCCTGAGGTCTTCCGACGTCCTGAAGTCAAGGTTCTAATGCTCTCGTTATGGAATGGACCATTATTAGGGAGCTTCCGAAAATTAGGGTACCTTTTTTTGGGGTCCTGAAAATAAGGATCCGATTATTTAGGGTATTATATTAGGGTCCCCTATTTTGGGAAATCCCCTTATATCATTATAATCTCTACATGCCAAACCCCAGATGCTTAGGCCTTTCAGACCTTTAAAAGGCTCCCTAAACCCTGGAAAGTTAGATCCTGAAGCCAGGGCTTCCTCGTGGTGGTCGATGGCCCACTGCGCCAACCCTTCAGCGACTACATGAAGAATACCGAGGCTTGTTGGGTTTAGGGTTTAGGGGTTTGGAGTTGAGGGGTTTGGGGTTTAGGGTTTGACGTAAACATGTCCACTCCACATCCCCCCTAAACGTTTCGCCTTCAACCCTAAACCTCAAACCCTAAACCCTAAACCTGAAGTCTTAAACCCTAAACCCTAAACCTGAAGTCTGAAACCCTAGACCTCAAACCCTAAACCTCAAACACTAAACCCTAAACCTGAGGTCTTAAACCCTAAACCTCAAACCCTAAAGCTCAAGCCGTAAGCCTTCAACCTCAAACCCTAAACCCTAAACTTTAAGCCTTAAACCGCAAACCCTAAACCCTAAACCCTAAACCCTAAACCCTAACCTTACACCTTAAACC